AAAAAAAACAATTTTATGTTATATTTCAGACATAAATAAATATATACAGTCACCAAACTAATTGACCGGACAATGCATTAATATATCGAAAATTTCTAAAAATTCAAGATAGAGCAACTTTGTCAAAAATTATCGTAACATAATGATCGAAAAAGCATTTTACAGCTTAAAGTCTCTACTTTTAAAATCCATAATTCATTAAATGACTTACTGATTCTTTACAAAGCTGCACGGATGCAAATGGAGATGCATCAAATCTAAAATTTTTTTACTAAATTTGCGAAGTTCCATAAAGTGAAATAAAAATCGCATACAAATTCGACTTACAGAGTTTGAAAGTGTGAATCTTTACCTTTAATTTGCGCACTCGATTAGCATTGTACGATTTTTTTTTACCGAGTTATTCAACTTTGAAGCAAAATTTTTTGCAAAGTTCCAAAATTTTGGAAAAAATTTTGCAATTTGTCACACCTTTATTTGTATCTATGCGGCTCCAAAGAAACTCAGTTTTCTAAAGTATTAATTTGAAAAGTGGAAATTTTCAGCTGTAAAATGCTTTTTTAAAAATCTCGTTATGATCATTTTTGACGAAGTTGCTCTATTTTGAAATTTTGTTCACCGAGTTACAGTCACGAAATTAATTGTCCGGACACAGGTATTAAGAGTTTATTTTTAGCTATAACTTCATTAAATATGGTAATTTTATAAAGATAATAATATTTACACGTGAAAACTATTCCTGTGATACATTTTCATCAAAAGGATTAGTCAAATTTATTATACTTTTAAATATAAAGATTTAATTAATAAAATTATAAAAATAATCACAAAATTAATTGACCGGACAAACAAAAATAAAATTGAAAAAATATAACATTAAAATTTAATGTTATATTTTAATAGCCCTTATAAGGATGGGTCCACGCGCTATTAAAATTTAATGTATTATTTAACGTTATATTTTTCCAATTTTATTTTTGTCCGATCAATTAATTTCGTGATTATTTTTGTAATTTTATTGATTAAATCTGTATATTTATATTATATCTGTATATTAAAGTATAATAAATTTGACTAATCCTTTTGATGAAAATGTATCACTAGGAATAGTTTTCACGTCTAAATACTATTATCTTTATAAAATTACTATATTTAATGAAGTTATAGCTAAAAATAAACTCTTAATACCTGTGTCCGGACAATTAATTTCGTGACTGTAACTCGGTGAACAAAATTTCAAGATAGAACAACTTTGTTAAAAATGATCGTAACGAAATTAAAAAAAAAAACATTTTACAGCTGGAAATCTCCACTTTTCAAATTAATACTTTAGAAAACGACTAACTGAGTTTCTTCGGAGCCGTATAGATACAAATGGAGGTGTGACAAATCGCAAAATTTTTCCCCAAATTTTGGAACTTTGCAAAAAACTTTGCAAAGTTTCACGGTCCTAATTAAAAATCGCACAATAACGAGGTGTACAGTTTTCGAAAGAATGAATCTTTACCTTTAATTTGCGCACTTGTTCAGCATTGTGTGATTTTTTTTCACCGAGTTATTTAACATTGAAGCAAAAAAGGTCATTTTTACTTCAAAGTTCAATAACTCGGTGAAAAAAAATCGCACAATGCTGATCGAGTGCGCAAATTAAAGGTAAAGATTTACGCTTTCAAACGCTGTAAGTCGCATTTGTATGCGATTTTTATTTACTACATGGA